TCTTTTGTTTAAATTTCCACAGCAATCATCCTAGCTCAGACTCTCAATGATTACCTAAACCTCCTAATTGGTTGCCTTACTTCCAGCCTCTGTTCATTCCAGTTCATCCAACAAATCACCCCCAAAATACAGGTCTGACCATATCATTTCTGCACTCAGAAGCTACAGAATTCTGCCAAAAGAGTCGCCCTAACCTACAAAACACTCAAATGATTATGTGAACAGACTTTAATTATACTTGTCAAACCCAACCCATATTAACTAAGCTTGTGGTTTTTAATATTTCCTTTTTCTAAGAATGTAGCTCGATCTTCTTATAATCCTACCCACTTAAAAAAATCTATCTATATCTAGGTCATCTCTAAAAGATAAGAAAAACAAAAAATAAATAACTGTAATGCTATGCTATTTTCACATTGCAAATCATGAGCAATTCCTTAATATCAAGTGTCTAGTCAGTATTAAAATTTTCCCACTGTCTCAAACTCTTTTAGAGTTGGATTGTGTGAATGAAGTTCCAAACAAGGTTCACACATTGCATTTAGGTTGACACATCTTTTAAATCTCTTCTAATTGATAGGTTTCCCCATCCTCCTTCCTTTTTTCTCACAAACCTCGCAATTTACTTTTGTGTGCCCTACAAAATTCTCCACTTTCTGGATTTTGCTGTTGTATCCCCACCACTTTTGTTTAGAATATGTCTCTAGTTCTTTACACATCCTGCAAGTTAGGCAGCTGGATCTAGATTCTCAACCAGATTCAGGATTGTTTGTCACTAAATAGGCCGTATGTGGTATGACACACTTTCTGGGTCATCTCAAATGATACTCCTTTCATGAGGCTCAAATTTGCCTTTCCTGCCCATCTTCCAAGATAAACAAAAAAACATAAAAACTGGACATTCTTTCTCCTTTCTTGAACTCCTCATGGCAACAACCACAAAGAAACTATCTATACCTCTCCTATCACCAATCTGACTAGAAACTCCTCAAACCCCAAGGAGAGTCTTATCTGAGTTTGAAACCATTGGAGTCCCTGGCACAGTTCCTTAAATAGAGCAAAATTAGGTACTACTTGGACTGAACTCCAGGTTTCTTTTTTACCTTTTTTGGGGAAATGATTAAGCATATAAAAACCCGTGGTTCAAGCCACATCTTTGTTTCTCCTTCAAAAATAGCATAAATTGAACATAACTAATATTTCAGGAAAAAGATACTATTGCTATCATCATTTTATTTATATCTCATGGTGAATATTTAATCTATTTCAGATTCTTTTCCTAATCCTAGATGACTAACATGAAAAGTAGCACACTGTAATTCTAAATAAAGATTGGCTGTTTTTTAAAAGGGAAAATAAAATTTAAAAACAGTGGTTCAAGAAGTCAGGCACAGGGTTTAAATGAGGAAAATAAAGGGGCTACTTTCTACAACTCTCAAGGTTAACACCGTGGCAAATAACTGATATTCTTCATCTAAGAGAAAAGTTCTATCAGCCTACTGAACCTAATTATAGAGATTACAATGCATAACCACACACAATCAACCACAACCCAAGTGTTTCTAATAAGTGCCAGTGAATATATTATTTTTAAGAATTTATACAATTCGGGCGCCTGGGTGGCTCAGTTGGTTAAGCGGCTGCCTTCGGCTCAGGTCATGATCCCAGGGTCCTGGGATCGAGCCCTGCATCGGGCTCCCCTCAGTGGGGAGTCTGCTTCTCCCTCTCCCTCGGCCTCCTCCCCCCTGCTCATGCTCATGCTCTGTCTCTCAAATAAAATCTTTAAAAAAGAAAAGAAAAGAAAAGGAAAACACTAGAAAAACAACCATTTAAGGCTATGGTGACTGTTTCTTGGAGACTCTTCTAAAATATGCCTTTTTTTTTTAAGATTTTATTTATTTATTTGAGAGAGAGTGAGAGCGAGAAGAGATTACAGAGGGAGAAGAGGAGAAGCAGACTTGCTGCTGAGCAGGGAGCCCGAAGTGGGGCTCGATCCCAGGACCCTAGGATCATGACCTAAGCCGGAGGTAGACGTATAACCCACTGAACCACCCAGGCGCCCCTAAAATATGCCTGTTTCTAATGGGTGATTTTTCTTTATATCTAATCACTGACTGACTTAACAGCCTGTTCTTAAAATCAAGCCGCAAAATCTTTTTTTTTTTTAAGATTTTATTTATCAGAGAGAGAGGGAACACAAGCAGGGGGAATGGGAGTGGGAGAAGCAGGCTTCCTGCCGAGCAGGGAGCCCGATGCAGGGCTCGATCCCAGGACCCTGGGATCATGACCTGAGCTGAAGGCAGACGCTTAACCACTGAGCCACCCAGGCGCCCCAAGCTGCAAAATCTTTTAAGGGGTGTTGGTAAAGATACTACTTCACTAACAAAAGTTGCAATCATATAGAAATGTAAGGAAGGTTTTGGGGTTCCATTTTTGTTTTTGTCACCTTAACTTTAAGTACGGTTAGGAAAACTCTGACCCATCTTCATGAATGGCACCCAAGCAATCACTAGCAGCATCTGTCCATCCACTCTCCTTCCAGAGGTACCCCATATTTTCTAGTCTTCTTTCCTCCCACAACTCCCCCTCTCATTCCCTTTTCCTTGAGTCTGACTCCTCAGCCTATAGCATGGGCACTTTTATAGATACAATTTAGCCTTCCTGTGGGACTCAAGGATTAAAAAGTTTTCCCTGGTATCTGGCAGAGTAAACAAACAAATACATTATTAATCGGAAAAGATCCACCACCACCAACTGCTTTTCCCTAAAAGATATAGTAGGAAATATATTTTTTAAACTCTACGATTTTATTTAATTAATGAAAAGCTACTCCTTAACAGATAGGTCTGCTTTTATCATCACCAACATCATTATTATTAACAGGGTGTTCATTATGATGCTTAACATGTTATGTGTAGTAAGTGACCTACATGCTTTATTTCATTTAATCCTCACAATAAGCCCCAATATAACAAATGGAAAAAAAAAAAAAACTGAAGCATAGAGGGGTTAAGCAATTTGCCCAAGGGCAAATTATAAATAAATGGCAGAGCCAGGATCGAACCCAGAGCTCTTTGACTTTTAGCTTCTTGGCTAGAGTGTGTTACTTTCCTAATGCTCTTATGGTTTTATAACTTTGATGTAAGAGGTCTATTATTAATTCATTCAACAAATAACTGAGTTTTACTGAACATCTGGCATTGTGGTAGGCAAAGGGATAAAAATAAAATCCAAAAAAAAAAACACCTGACATAAAATCACAAGAGCACTAATAACAGTTGAATATAATTAACACAAGCATAAATGTTACTTATAAATCAATCTGAACCTGGCTGCTGAAAAGATTTCTGGGAGATTTCTCCAGTAAAAAAGACCATAAAAACAACTACCTGTGGATGACAGGTGCTCATTACTCATTCACCTCCCCTCTTGTTTCTCTATGTTCCCACAAAGGCCCAGGGGTTCTGACAGTTTTTCAGCATCAGTAACATTTTAAACAGTAACAGAACTGCGTTTCTGAAAAGAATCAGAAATGCTCCAAGATGAGATTTCTGGACTATGCAAACATTAACTTAGACTTACTATTAAAATACTAGAAAAAAAGCATGCCTCATCAGCACCAAAAGTCACCTGGGAAGAGTGCAGATCAGTAAGAGTGCTAGAAAAGTGGGCGCCTGGGCAGCTCAGTTGGTTAAGCGACTGCCTTCGGCTTAGGTCATGATCCTGGAGTACCGGGGTCGAGTCCCGCATCGGGCTCCCTGCTCGGCGGGGAGTCTGCTTCTCCCTCTGACCCTTCCCCCTCTCATGCTGTCTCTATCTCATTCTCTCTCTCAAATAAATAAAATCTTAAAAAAAAAAAGAGTGCTAGAAAAGTGCTGGAAACCATGATCATACTTAAAGACAGGGTGACAATTGCGCTGCCTGGGCCAGTAATGCTCAGCGCTTCCCTTAGTAATGGAATTCAGTCAAAGGTGGCTCAAAGAGCCATGTGAGCTTCAGTTTCCATGGGGAGAAGAGAAGGCCAAGATGCCCAGACTAAGAACCTCTAAGAGAATCTGGGATTCTCCCCCAGTTCCCATCATTGACAAGTAGGCCAGCAGCAGGGTCATGCAGGGTGAAACTAAGGCTTCCTTCCCTATATAATCCAAAACCCGGGGTCTGGACTAAGAGATTCCTTAAAAGCCCAGCCAGAAGCATAGGCATCTCTACACAGAGAAACTTCCATAGGCTGTTTTTGCTGATTCCAGACAGTTGCCTGGTGTTACTCCACTACTAACAACATATTTAACCACTGGGCTGAACTTCTATGTCAACTTACCTTGTGTACAAAAGGCAACATAAAAGAGAATAAATGCTGACAATCACAAATTTATCAATAAGCCATCCAATGCACTTTATTTTGAAAACACTTCTATAAATGCTGATTTATTTACTACCCATTTCAGTCTCAACAAGTAAATATCAAGTAATAAATGTAGTTCTCATTTAGAAGTGATACAAGTAAAAGTTTATTACATGCACTGCTTATCTTAGCCCTACCTATTTCTAGAAGAGTGTCCTAAGAACCTGGGGATATTTACTGGAGGATGAGGAGGACCAGAAAATGAGGAAATTTATGACTGCTACCATATTACAACAGAATAAACAGGCAGTTCTTTCAAGAATATTAGTATTTTCACTTTTTTCTAATTTATGTTAAAAGTGGTAATGCGCTTCTATCAGAGATTTCAAGGTAAACACAAAAAAATCACAGCTGCATTTCATGTTCTACCACTTACCAATTTGCTCTTCTATAACCTTGACTGATCCAAATTATTTTACAATTTAAATATTTTTGTTTGAAGCACTGGCACCAACACCAACATTTTAAATTTTAATTCCTGCTACTTTAGAGAACCTGTCTTAATCTCTTAACTAAATTTAAAACTTCACATTATACATGTGGCAAAGGGTGAATCTGATGTCTTGGCTTAAAATGTCATAAAAACTTGTTGAAGTACCTTTTAATAGGGACACTTTAGCAAGAGGTTCATTTAGGTCTTGCTCATCCATTTGGGCGTCTGCAGGGGGCAAAAAAGATAATTACAAACAGTAGTTAGCTCCATCCTCAAGCTATCACTATCAAAATAAACAACTAAAACTTATACAGCTATCGTACCTGGATAGTTGAAAGTAATTTTAACAATACATCCAAGATTCAAGGGAGTTAACTTTGAAAATGGAGACTGCTTCCCCCCCCCAACACAAACTTAGAAATCTCCACCCACATTAATCTGCATACCTAAACTGCTCAGCCAGTAACAATAACATCTGTAAGATTTGCAAACATTAGGTTACAACTCACCTGTAGTGTCGTCACTACTTTTTTCCTTGCTTGGACTCAGAGTATCTGACAAATCAGATTCTTTTGCTCTTGCCTGGTTTTCTACCAAGAAAAAAATGAAAGTAGAATCTCATTACAACTATATCAATAAAACTGCTTTAGGCTTTGAGTGCTGTAAATCTACTGATATGCAAAATACTTTTAAAATTAACTGAGGTCACCACTCTAGTCCAAAATGGAATGCTGGTTATTACACGTGGCTCATATTAAATTATAATGTGGATCATGTCTGCTGTGCAGAGGGCTGGGGCTTTTGTCAAGGCTGTCCACTGGCCAACCAGAAACAAAAATGAAGCAAGCTTTGCTAAAGTATTCAGAGAACTGCAACAAATATAGCAAAATTCAAAGACAATGTGGACACTGTATGGAGATGATGCAAGGAAATGGCTCTCTTATATAAAAACACTAGCTAGGTTGCCTTAGCAATAGTTATACTTAGTAATATTTATATTTATATAAAACTCTAAAATCACAACTGTTATAAAAATGACATTTAAAACAAGAAAATCACAACCTTTTTTATCTTAAAAAAATATAACTGTACCTGAACCACATTGAGAAAGACTTAAAAAAAAGTTTTGGGATTATTTGCAAGTGGTGCGCTGCCTAGCTGATGAAGACATCCTAGGCCTCATTTTCAACAAGTTGCTCTCAAATATCCTAACTATTAGCCCAACAATTTATTAAAGATGACTGACAATTAATTAGGCTGTTGATCCTTATCTATAATTGCACACCTGTGTGTATTATGGCATGCATTAGAATAGCATTTACAGAGATGGTCATTTCTCTGACCAAAATCCTACAGCATCTCCCCATTCTCTACAAGCTCAGCCAAACTTTATATCCCAGGATTTAGCTATAATTTAGTCCCTGAATTAATTCACACATGAGCTCCATTTCAGTCAGGCTAGCCTCTTTACAGGGCTGAGACATGCTGGCTCACTATGATCCCCAATTCTTTGCTTGAGTTGATATTTCACTAAACTCAATGACCATTCTCTCTACTTGGCCTATTCAATCTGTGAGATACAGCTTAAGCCCCTTCACCTCTAAGGGAGTCTTCATTTCTCCAGCATGCTGCTCCTTTTTATTGTATCTTCTCTGTATCCTATGATTTTGTAATTAATCATGTTCTATTTTATATCATTCTATGTGTATTTATGTATCTTATTTCTTTAGTTAGATTATAAATTCATTGAGTATATGATTATTTTTTATAATTTATTGCTGTTGTTTGTGTAACACGCATCAAAAATTTAAATATGCATATCCCCTTCTAGTACTTTTCCAAAGGAAAAACAGACTACATATAGTATATATAAGGATGTTCACTGCAGCATTGTTCATTATGGAATGGAAAATACTCGAGATATATTCCTTACTATTAAGTAAAAATAAAGGTTGTTAAAGAACAGTATGTATAATATGATCCCATTTAGGTTGAAAATAGCTATATATTTAGCTATGAATCTTCAGCTGTGCATATTTACTCAAGTCTGGAAGGATCCACAACAGAGATACCCATTGTCATTTCTGGAGGTAGGGACATGGCAGATATTTACTAATTCATATTGTCATACATTTTTGAAAATTGTTAATATATATTGTTTTATAACCAACTAAATCAAGAGATATTTTCCATTTTGAAAGTAATCAGAAACATATCTAAAACCATTAGTTAATATTAAAATATATTTAATACAATGTTAAAATATAACTTCTTATGGCTATTCCATTAAGAACCCTAGAATTTGAAGTAGGTGATAGATTACAAGAAGCCTTTTGCTTCTTTTTTCACTGCCATTTCTAGTCAAAGGCCAACTGCTGAGAGACACAGAGCTTAGATTAGAAGTGAAGTCACTGACCATGGAGACCCATGGGAATCCAATCTGTGACCTCTGGTGCATTCAGTGTGCTATAATCAGACATTTCTGAATGTTCTAGTTTTAATCACAAAGTTACAGTCTCAAACAAGCCAGGCTAATACATCTAATCTATATAGATGGAAAAGGAACCATTCTCAGAGAATAAAAAAATGACTCTCTTCTGATTTTAATATTCTTGGCAATTTTACGATCAAGATATTGAGGTAAACCAAGAAGAATATGTTTTCAAAAGGATTCTTCTGGCTTAGGAGGAACTTTTATTTTATATTTAGAGTATTAGCCAGAAAGGTAAAATTAAAGGTGGGACCAAATCTTCCATTAAGATCTTACTAGAATATAAGTACCATAAGGGCAGGGATTTTTGTCTGTTTTGTTAACTGCTATATCCTCATTGCAGAGAACAGTGTACAGTTCATAGTACATAGCAGGTGCTCCAAAAAGAGGATGTTTGAAGGCAAGAATCTATTTTGAGTAAGAAGACAAGTCAAATCATGGCCCATCATTGTTATGTCCTGAAATTATAACTGTTATATGGAGGCAAACCAAATCTATTCAACAATGAAACACAGGACACAACAAATGAGAGGCAGAGTATCTCTTCCTTTTCAAAACATCCGTTCTTTAGCTATGAAGTGGCACCCAACTTTCTAGTATTAAAAAATCCTTACTAGTTGATTTTCTATGCAGTACTTAATCATTAAGATACATACCAATAATATATAGAAAGAAACAGAAGAATAGCTACCAACATCAATACCAAAACTGTTCCCAAACTGGAAAGTCTACAACAACGTATTTTCACTGTATCTCTGAGAACACATAATGATAGATGGGCAAAACAAACATACTGGCCACAGACCACTTCCTACACCAATGGAACCATTAGTTGGAAACAAAGCAAGAAGGGAAATGAGAATTAACATTTGTCAAATACCAGAATAACACTTCTTGCTTTATAAGCAACATTTCATTAAATTCCCACAAATTCCCACAGTTAAATATTATCAATTCCATTTTACAAATGAGGAAACTGAAGTTTAAAGAGTAAGTTGCCTGAGGGCATATAGCTAGCTAGTTAGTTGTGGAACCTGGATTTGAAACCATCTGTTTTACCTATTAGTATTCTTTCTACTTCTACCCTAAGCCTTCAGTAAACATACACTAGTTGAGTGAGGGTTTAAACAGAAAGCACATGCAACCTATGATTACATTTTGCATTAGGTGAAATATCTGAAACACTAAGACTTATAATACCTGGTAATTGGCTATCTCTAGCAACTGTTATTTTCAGTACAGAAAAGAAATTCTATCAAAAACATCACCCATGAAAGGCTCTTAAAAATAAAACAACTTAGGGTGCCTGGGTGGCTCAGTTGGTTGAACGACTGCCTTCGGCTCAGGTCATGATCCTGGAGTCCCAGGATCGAGTCCGGCACTGGGCTCCCTGCTGGGCAGGGAGTCTGCTTCTCCCTCTGACCCTCCCCCCTCTCATGCTCTATCTCATTCTCTCTCTCAAATAAATAAATATTTAAAAAAAATAAAAAAAATAAAACAACTTAGCCAAATCCAAAAGAAATACTTTATAGCCAGATACAAAGCATTTAAAATGTAACTTATCTCAGCCATCTAGTTTGTTACAAGGATTAGTGTACCTCTGCATGCTAACTTTGAGAAATGCTTGTAAAATGCTGACTGCTGACAGAAAAATCTCTGGGTATATAAAACTTGGATCTGTATTATCATTCTTAAAGGATGTATTTTATTCACTTGCATGGACTTACTTGCTATTATTTATTTAATAAATGTCCTTATTACTCAACATTTATGTTTTCCTCTTTTTGCTTTTAAAACACTGAAGCAAATACCCTTGCATATTTGGCCAATTTGTTTCTTAATATAAAAACCCAGAAGTGGAATTGCTGGATCAAAATGCATGCTCTTTAAAGCTTTTAACACATATTTTATAGCCAGGTTTCAAAAGTAAATCAGTAAAGACGGCACAAATCTTTTTCGATAATGATATCACATAATTTCAAGCAAATATATTCTAATTCAGAATGCATTAAATAGAAGCACTAAAGTAGCAAGATATTTTTCTTTAATTAAAGGACTGATTTTTTTTTCTAAGGCTCTACTTCCACTTCAGTGTGCTGGCTATTCAACTAATCTGCACAGGCATTTGGGTGGTGAAGTAAAAGCTATGTTAAAATCTGTTCTCATCTCACTTTAATTAGATGAAATAAATTGCCACATGTACTAAAAATAGTTCACTGCTCTGAAACCCAATGCCTGTTTGCCAGAACAATATTAGTGATGCATATTCTATGCATTCTTTCCCCAAATATGGCATCTGCCACGCACAAAATTCAGAATGGAAGCCACCAGATACTTGAAATAACATTCTCCTTTTAAATATTGTTAAAAGCCAAAATGGATCCAGTTAGTTTCATAAAACAGAATGTACTGAAATGGAGTATTCCAAACTTTTATCACTCATTGTTTTAACTGACCAAAAGGATTGTGAATCTACTTATAAACTTTATGCTGGTAGGTTCTGATGAAAGTCCTAAAATTATAATGAGCATATCATACCAAATTTATTTGTCCAATTTCCCTAATGCATAACAGTGACTTGACAATGTAATGCTTTAAAACACACTTTTCTTCTCTGACAATTGTAACAGAAAAGAACGAATAGAATAAACTATTTCAGGCAATTTTAAGACTACCCATTTTAAATATAAGAAGATGCTACATAATCACTTTTGTTTAAATCAAATTGATATGCCAAAAATTAAGAAAATATTAAATTTCATAAGGAACGTTAAAGGTATGAAAAGCACAAAAATAGAACTGCATTTTTCACCTGTTGTTTCAAAAAAGATTTACGTTGAGTTTAATTAAAATTTTATATCAAATATAACAAATACCAAATATCAAAACTGAAAATAATGCTAGAAGTGAGACAGATCAGAACAAATCTTTTAAAACCTAACGAAACCTATTTCAAGCACTTTTAAGAAAAAATACATATATATATATACCCATACAAAAAGAAACTTTGTAATTAAGATATCCTTCTTAAGACAGAACTCCAACTATTTTATATTATATAATACTGTTACTGGATTGCCATCTGGTGAGCTATAAAAAATAAATTGATGGTTAAAATACTATGACCTTGGAAATGTACACTAACCTCCATTATCCAAAAGAGTGGTCAAAACCCACAGAAAACCAACAGAAAACGAACCTTTTGAAAGCTTTGTTTCTTCTACCACTTTGGTTAGATGCCCCTCGACGATCAGCTTCTCTGCCAAAGAAAACAAATGTTACTATCCAAGCCCAAACCGAGTAGCATTTCCCTGAGCGGGGCAGTGTAACACATTCCATGACCAAATTTAAAGATGATAATATTACTCCCATGACTAGGCTTGTACAAAAACTTGAAGCTGGAAGGAGAACTAAGAAAACTCAAACTATAATAGAGCAATGAGATTAATGCAGAAATCTGGGGGTAGGGGGACAATTTGCCTTTAATTTTCATTATTTACCTTATCTAAAAAGCCTAGACCTTTTAAAAAAGGACTCAGAATAAACAAAGAAATCCTCTTTAAATCAAGGATATGAAGTTGAAATAAAGGAATTCTGAGAAAGTATTTATTTAAATAAAGAAGTAATATAAGTGATGTTACACCAATAGTTTACTTTTCCCTATTGATACAATTCAGCAGAGATGCATATATGACATGCTTCAGTAAAATGAATCTTTTTTTTAAGATTTTATTTATTTATTTGACAGAGAGAGAGAGAGAGACAGGGAGAGAGGGAACACAAGCAGGGGGAGTGGGAGAGGGAGAAGCAGGCTTCCCGCCGAGCAGGGAGCCCGATGAGGCGCTCGATACCAGGACCCTGGGATCATGACCTGAGCCGAAGGCAGAAACTTAATGACTGAGCCACCCAGGCACCCCTAAAATGAATCATTTTTAAAGATATTAAAACAAATACTGTTTTGTTTTGTTTTATAGGGGATTCTCTGTAAATGTATAATGTAGCTTCTTTATGATTCATTTAAATTCAGATCTCCATATTCTGTATTTTACTGAGAAGGATATCTGTTCTGTATATCCCCTTATTTAATCCTGTACGTCAGTTGGTCTCCTTGAATTTACACTTTTGCAGTAGTGAAGTCATTTCTCTATTCCTTCACTCTTCAACCCAATGCAGCTTGGTTTATGCCCACCACTCAACCACTGAAACTGTTCCAACATCACTATAACCTCCTCTCTGCCAAAGGCCATGGCTCCTTTTCATAATTTTTACTTTGTATAGGCTCTCTGCAGTATGTGGCACTGTTTGCCCCTGCTCCTAACATCTTTTTTTTAAAAGTCAAAGTAATAGATTTAGATAATTTTAAAAGGCAGTCCTACAAGATGTATAATTAAGCTGTCCTTCCCATCTTCTGTCCAACTCTACTCCATTCTTGAAATTCACTTCCTAGAGAAACAACAATTTTTCTTTCTTTTTTTTTAAGCAACAACTTTTAACTTCAGGCCATTTCTTCTGGTATTCACATTTATATTTCTAAGTAAAATACTGCTATTTCTTCACTTTTCCATTTTAGACACTACTTACTGACAATCTCTTATAGATGACTAAAAAAGGACTCAAAGTCCTTTTTTACTATCATCCTCCTAAGAGTTACATTTTGTCCATCTATACTCAGTATGTATATTATGACTATTATTTGTATTTGAGTCATATAATATGCTAAAATTATATTTCTCTGCTTGTACCTTCTTATACAACATGTAGTGATTTTGGAGCTTGCAATACCTTGTTTTATTTTGCTAACTTTTTATATATCTATCTCAAACAAAGCCCAAGTTTGTTTTTTTTTTCTTTTGCCCAAGTTCTTACAGAACCATAAAAACTCTCAATACTGTCAAACATATCAGGTAATCCATCACATTATATATCCTTGTCCGTCCCTTCCCCCAGCCCTTTAATATTCCTGCTCCAGTCTGGGTTGTATCCAAAATCCCCTACCCCCAGAATCCAAATCTTTCTTGTCCTGTTTTATTCCCTTGTTTTAGTGTAACATATTCTCAGTTAATTTCCTGAAAGGGGGTTGACAGAAGGTAAGTGCTTTGACTTTGTTCCTCTGAAAATGTTAGTGTTCTACTCTCACATCTGACTGATGGTTTAACTAGATAGACAATTCTACAGGAAATATTTTCCTTCAAAATTTTGAAAGCACTGTTCCATTGCCCTCTAGCTTCAAATGAGAAGGTGAGTCCTGTTCCTCAGTATGCATGGTAGAGACTTCCTGTGTTCAGCAAAGCCTGTTGTGCCTGCCCTTTCTGGGCACCTGGGGGACTGAATATTCCAAACACCCTAGCACTAACAAAGGTCCACATGACTGGTTCTAGCCAGTGCCAACGCATTTAAGAAAGAGTAGAAGTTTTCTGTACTTCTATCTTCCCTCCATTCTAGAAACCATGTGCTGAGATGGCAAAATTCTTTATCATAAGATGGTAAAGCCTCCATGAACTTAGATCCCTGAATAACAACATGGAACAGTGTTCTCTCCTTCACCTTGGACATGTAGCATGAGTGCTAAAAACTATTTGTGGAATTAAGCCATTTAGATTTCAGAAGCTTATTTATTGCTATATTATAATTTAGTTTATTATGACTAATAAGAGCATGAGAACCTTTGTTTCTCTTTGGCAATTTTCAGAATCGTCTCTTTATCCCTGGTGTTCTTAAATTTCATATACTCAGAACATGGTCTTTTTCTTTTCTTTTTTTGGTGAAATTCACATAACACAAAATCATTTTATATTTTTAAATTTTATTTTATTATGTTATGTTAATCACCATACATTACATCATTAGTTTTTGATGTAGTGTTCCATGATTCATTGTTTGCATATAACACCCAGTGCTCCATTCAATACGTGCCCTCTTACAAAATAATCATTTTAAAGAGAACAATTCAGTGGCATTTAGTACATTCACAATGTTATGCAACCACACCCTCCATCCAGTTCCAAAACATTTTTACCACCCCAAAAGGAAACCTCATGCTCATTAAGAATTTACTTCCCATCCTCCCTTCCCAGCCCCAGCTATTACTCGTCTGCTTTCTCCCTGTGAATTCCTATTCCGGATATTTCATATACATACCATCACACAATACATGAACTTCTGTGTCTGGTTTAGTGTGTGTGTTCTAAAATATATTGTGTTGAGCGTTCAGTGCGTCCTTTCAGTTTAGAAGCTTATTATCTTCAATTCTAGGGAATTACCTTCTATTCCATTTCACTGATAAATTCTTCTCTTTTTCATTCCTCCTCTTTTCCTACTCTCTCCCTTCCCACACTCTGGAAATATTATTCAGATGTTAGAGCTCTAGGGCCAATTCCCTAATTCCCCGCCCCTTTTTTTCCTTAAATAAAACCTCAAGCCAACTCTTGTCTTTTTTGTTATATTTTGTGGAATATTTCTTCTACTTTCTCTTCTAACACCAACTCAAAAAGATATATGCACCCCCATGTGCACTGCTGCCTTATTCACAGTAGCCAAGATATGGAAACAACCTAGGTGTCCAGTGATGCATGACTGGATAAAGAAATATATATATTACTCAGCCATAAAAAAAAAATGAAATCTTGCCTTTTGGGACAACACGAATGGACCCTGAGGGTATTATACTAAGTGAAAAAAAAAAGTCAGACACAGAAAGACAAATACCATATGATCTCACTTACATGTGGAACTCAGAAAAAACAACAAGCTCATACATACAGAGAACAGACTGGTGGTTGCCAGAGGCAGGAGGCATGGGGGTGAGAAAAATGGGGGGAGGGGATCAAAAGGTTAAAAAAAAAAAGACCTTAAGAATAATGCAGAACACAAAAGCCATATGTGAAAGGACAGATAGATTTGACCTCATATAAATTAAAAATTTTTTAAAAGATTTTATTTATTTGAGAGAGAGAGAATGAGAGATAGAGAGCACGAGAGGGAAGAGGGTCAGAGGAAGAAGCTGACTCCCCGCTGAGCAGGGAGCCCGATGCGGGACTTGATCCCAGGACTCCAGGATCATGACCCGAGCTGAAGGCAGCTGCTTAACCAACTGAGCCACCCAGGTGCCCTAAATTAAAATTTCCTGATCAAACTCACTATCAACACAGGTAAAGGGCCAGTGACAGACATGGAGAAAGTATGTGAAAAATAAAGAGCAGATAAAAGGTTATTATTCATTCACTGAACAACTAATTAGGGGGTACCTACTATGTGCCAGATACTCTCCTAGGTGCTAGAAACATTAGAATGAACAAATGACAAAATTCCTGCCCTCCTGGTTCTTACATTCTAATGGGGTGAGGAGGGAGAGATGATAAAGAAGTAAACAAATATCAGATGGAGGTTATGTAGAAAAATAAAGCACGGAAGAAGGAAAGGGAGCATGGGGATGGCAAAGATGGGAGGCCCTCCAAAAATGAATAAGAAAAAGTCAAACAACACAGTGGAAAAGGGGCAAAGAATAACAACATTGAATTCACAGGCCAAGAAAAGCAAATGTCCAGTAAATGTGAAATTTATGGTCTACCCACTGAAACAATGCCGGGGCATTATTCGCTCATCAGTTTGGCAAACATTCAATACCAGGAGGGGTGAGTGAGTAATCTTGTGTCCTTCTGGTGGGAGTGTAAATTGGTATCATTTTTTTTTTTAAAGATTTTATTTATTTATTTGGCAGAGAGATACAGAGAGAGAACAAGTAGGCAGAGAGGCAGGCAGAGGGAGAGGGAGAAGCAGGCTTCCCACCGAGCAGGGAGCCGGATGCAGGGCTCGATCCCGGGACTCCAGGATCATGACCTGAGCCGAAGGCAGCCACTTAACCGACTGAGCCACCCAGGTGCCCCTCATTTTTTTTTTTTAGAGGGCAATTTTGACAGAAGTTATCCAAATGTTGAAAGCCCATGTCCTCTGACCCACAGCCCCTATTCTGTGTATTACTCTGGGAAGAGACAACTGTACAAAGATTTTCAATGCATCATTGTCTGTATTTAAGGAGGGAGTGGAATACAAAATTTTTATAGCTTTACCAAGAGAAAAGTATTAATCTTCAAGATCTCTGTCACAACAACAAAAATTCATTTTAAATAGTATTAACTACATTTGCATAATTTCTAAATGTTGATGTCTAGTCTAGCTCTCTCTCTTAGGTCTCAGAACACTATTGTCTAACTACTTCCCAAACATCTTCATCCAGAAATCCCTCGGGAACTTCATCTCACC